TTACCACTAGACTTTCTATTTAATATCGCAGATTCTTCTTCATCTTCCTCTGCTTTTTCGCCATATGATAAAAGATTGAAGTTACTGTAACAAAATTTTTCATTACAAAGAATAATACTATTATGGATAAATGCTACAAACATATATGATTTTTACTTTATTCCTGTCCTTTACTTCTTCACTTTTCTGTACTATTATTCTTGGTACAATTTCAGAAATAGGATTGTTCAATAATTCAGCTTTTATCATTTTTGGAGCATAAAGTGGCCTATCATTCTAAAAAAAAAAAGGGGGGGGGCAATATTATATTTATATCAATTCTTGATACATTTTCTTATAAACATTAAATTTACCTCATCTACAAGTGCTTCTTCAAGTTCAAGCATGTCATATATAGTTTCTTCAGTAACATAACCAAAAGTTGAATGTTTATTCTGCAAATCTAATTGAGAACCAAGAGTAAAGAAGAATTGGGAACCACTGTTATCTTCTCCAGCATTAGCCATAGCAATTAAACAGCGACCACAGGAACGTAATTTAAAACGAACTGAAAAAAAGTATTCAATTCAGTTAAAGAAAATTCCACTCTACACTGACGTATAGAACAAACCTAATCAAAAAGCCCAATTTCGAAGATAGATGTCAAAAATGTCTATTACGCGTACTGACACATTCGGCACTATTTTTCGAAAACGCACACTAAAAACTGAGAAAAAGTAGACAATATCATTAAAGAAAATTCCACTCTACACTGATATATAGCACAAACCTAATCAGGAAGACTAATTACGGAAATAGAAAAGAAAATGCACTATTACGCAGCACGATTTCACAGCCACTAACACATTAGGCACTATTGTTCGAAAACGCACTCTCGAAAACGAAAAAAAATATCCAATCCCATTACAGAAAATTCCACTCTACACTGACGTATAGAACAAACCTAATCAAAAAGCCCAATTTCGAAGATAGATGTCAAAAATGTCTATTACGCGTACTGACACATTCGGCACTATTTTTCGAAAATGGAAGCTCGAAACCGAAAAAAAATATCCAATCCCGTTATGAAAAAAACCACTCTACGCGAATTAGTGGAAAGATCCGGTTCAAAAAGCCTAATTGAAAAGATAGAAGCCAAAAAAGTAAATTGCGCAGCACGATCTGAGAGCCACTGACACTTTCGGCACTTTTTCTCGAAAACGCACGCTCGAAACCGAAAAAAAATATCGAATCCCGTTAAGGGAAAAATCACTCTACGCGAATATGTGAAAAAATTCGGTTCAAAAAGCCCAATTCAAAAGATAGAAGCCAAAAAAGTAAATTACGTCACACGATCTGTCAGCCACTGACACATTCGGCACTATTTTAGAAAAACGCACACACGAAACCGAAAAAAAATATCCAATCCCGTTAAGAAAAAAATCACTCTACGCGAATCTGTGGAAACATCCGATTCAAAAAGCCTAATTCAAAAGATATAAGCCAAAAAAGTAAATTGCGTCACACGATCTGTCAGCCACTGACACATTCGGCACTATTTCTCGAAAACGCACGCTTGGAACCGAAAAAGAATATCCAATCCCGTTAAGGAAAGAATCACTCTACGCGAATCTGTGGAAACATCCGATTCAAAAAGCCTAATTCAAAAGATATAAGCCAAAAAAGTAAATTGCGTCACACGATCTGTCAGCCACTGACACATTCGGCACTATTTTAGAAAAACGCACACACGAAACCGAAAAAAAATATCCAATCCCGTTAAGGAATAAATCACTCTACGCGAATCAGTGGAAAAATCCGATTCAAAAAGCCTAATTCAAAAGATATAAGCCAAAAAAGTAAATTGCGTCACACGATCTGTCAGCCACTGACACATTCGGCACTATTTCTTGAAAACGCACGCTTGGAACCGAAAAAGAATATCCAATCCCGTTATGGAAAAAATCACTCTACGCGAATCAGTGGAAAAATCCGATTCAAAAAGCCTAATTCAAGAGATAGAAGCCAAAAAAGTAATTTGCGTCGCACGATCTGAGAGCCACTGACACCTTCAGGACTATTTCTCGAAAACGCACGCTCGGAACCGAAAAAGAATATCCGATTCCGTTAAGGGAAAAATTACTCTACGCTGTTATGCCGAAAAAATCTAACCGAGAAGCCTAATTTCAGAAATATAGGCGAATAAAGTATACTGTGTAGAGCGATTTCACAGGCACCTGCTTTTCTGTTACTTTGGTACATATATGCACCTTCAATTGTAATATAATTGCCCTACTGGTTCGAGAGCAGCCTATTCTATGCAGTAGTTATGAAATATTCTAATCTAAAATTAAAATTTAGAATGTAAAAGAGATAATACATAACTATGTTGCAATGGAATGTCAAGATCGAAGAAAAATTGAAAAAACTATTAAAAAGCTGTGTATTCAGAGTAATGTTGATCAAATATTCCAACGAACTGTCGAAATCTAGAATCTTCTATAGCCGATAATAACGGACAATGCGGTAGTATCATAGGATACGGCACTCACGCCACTTTATTTCCCACGTGTATCGTTATACGATTTACACTATGTAACATAACTTTTTTTCACATGTAGTATATTACCACCGTAGAAATGTTCACAGTTAGTAATCCTGAACTTCATAAAGTAATTAAGACGTCAATCAGCGATATCACTACTTCACGAAACGTTCTGAGATTTAATGTTTTATTTTGACGCGGGAGAATATTGCACGATGTTACTGTTATGGCCGCTTGCCGCCAACTGGAAGTTGACTGCAGCCGGATGTGCTAGGTATTTTTGTAGCAGGAAAATGTTGCATCTTTGAAATAGCTATGTGCTAAAGTATCGATATAAAATATTTCTGTTGCGAAAAATTCCAATTTTCTATAATTAATTTATGAACTGAAATTATTAGCTATTCCATTATACTAATGGAAAGACAAACCATTACTATCTTCGGCAATGGTTCAAGCACTCTATGCAATAATCACCAATAATGAATTAAATAACAATGAATTCATATCCAGACTTATATTAGAAGGCTCGCTGAGGCTGTGTCCTCACGATGCAATTACAAAAGTTGTTAAATTAATTATAGACGAACATTTAGTCAGAGATGAAAGCGAGTGATTTTGCTCTTGGTAAAAAGAAAATGAAACTACGATAGTTATATGCTTAGGTACTTTTTATTCACTTTGGAAGTTTCACATATACACGCTAATTGTTAACGACATAATTCTTCGGTTCTTTTTTTGTATCTCTCAATTTATTTTTTATCCTTTTTTCATTGCTCTGAAAATATAAATATAAAACAGTCAATAAAAGATTCTACTTTCTATACATAGTTATAATGTAAATAATAAACTAACTCTTTCTCTTTCTTTACAACTTCTAATTCTTCTTGAGTTTCTACTTCGTCGTCACTTTCCCAATCGCTACTATGGTCTTTCATCGTAATAAAACTTTAATCGTAAATATTTCAAAAACTATTGAGTAGTGTGGCTGTCATGGTATATATTCCTGAACTGCATGACGAAATCTAGAAACTTGCAAAGTTTCAACTAAATCGGTGACCCGAAGGACTTGCACTCTGCTTGTAAGCATAAGACAGAATGCATTACAGAAATGACAGGCATTGTGTACATATGCATAACTAATTAAAATTAGTACATTCAACATTTAAATGTTTGGAATGACAATATTGTAGGAAATAGTAATAAGAAATTAATTACCAATATTTTTTTTTAAATATTTATACTTTAATATATATCACGTTTATATTTACAAATAACACATTATAACAAATATCAATAATCTGTACATGTTGATTTCAAAGTATTTGATGTATACATAAATTTAAAAGCTGTGTGTCCAGCCAATTATTTTGTCTTTTCTTTTTTAAATTCTTTCACACTTTGTGAATCAAAGCACAATAAATTGCGAATTTCCAAGTACTTGAATTTTTGTGTAGCATGCAGTACTGGTTTAATATAGAAAGGAATAAATAATTATTTTCTCATCAGAAGTTCATAACAAGTATTAAATGTGCATAAAGATGGTGGTATATCCTCCATTAGCCTAATTATGCATAAGGCATGAGCAATATGATTTTTTTTCCTTAATTCCTGTACAAGAATTTCTGCATTATCCTTAATATTCGTTAAAGATTGATTCACAAGAACATGTTCAATGATTTGTCCAAAAATTTCATGATTTGGGTTAAAAGATGCTGTTAAATTTCTCAAAAATAATATTTCTAGTATTGGTGCTGACAATGTCAATTCCTGAAATGTGGAATAACATTAGTATAAATATGTAAAGTAAAAATCTAATTTTATCAAAACACATGCTTATATATACTTTATATTTTTTTTCGAGAATGTTTACTGCTTCTTCATGGAGTTTAGAATCATCCATATCTAATCTAATATAAATTGCATGTTCAAGGGGAATTTCTTCAGTATCTAAGAATTCTTTGAGTACCTATCAAACATAATTTAAATAATTAATTATATTCAATAAAATTCGCTACAATTTAATGATTGGTATTACAAAATTTACATTTGTTGAAGACAATGCTTTAATTAATTCTTTATATTCTTCAAAAATTTGTTTATTATGTTTGTTTTTATCTTTTTCTATAATATGAATATTCACTATTTTCATCATTTTCAGAATCGGATGTTTGTCAGTTTGTGTATACTCAGGATCTTCAAATTTCGGCCACTGCAGTAATAATCTTTTTGCTTCATAAAAATGATCAACATTTTGTATTTTATTAAATATTTTTTCAAAAGCTTCAAAGCGATCTTTTTCTGTGACACATTCTCCTATATCTTTTACTAGAGAAATATTATTCTCTATATACAATTCTTGATTTAAAATATCTGTTTTGTTCCCTATGTGTTCTATTACATCTTCATTTGAAAAGTCGCCCCAATTATCAGTCCATTCCACATTATTTTTATCATTAGATTCTGACAAGTTTTGTTCAATTTTATTTCTCCTATCATGCAACGAATTTTCCGTTAATGTTTCGTCCTCTCTAGATTTTTCAGTAAATACACTTGAACTTTGAGTAGGCGCTATAATATCATCTGTTTCTTTATAATCTTCAATTTCATTGTTATCTTCTACTTCTTGATCTGATTCAGAAATTTCTGTCTTGTTTATCCCATAAATTTTAAATAAACATGTTTGCCAATGTTTAAATGGTTTATAAATATCCGATTTTTTGCATTTATGTGCTATATCCATCATTTTCCATATTAAACTCAATGGATCAAATGAATATAAATTTTCAAAATCTTTATATAAGCTTTTATGTAATTCCAAACTATAATAATACATTGCACTTTGAATGTATAATTTTGTTTGTGGCAACTTTATTAAAATATTATGTGCTTCTCTTAGACATCTTTTTTGTACACTAAGCAGATATGTCATACCCAGTAACCAATCTTGCTGTATAGTATATTTTGCACATTCTAAAAATACTAAAGTAGAACAAATTTTCAATTATCAAACATTTACCTTATATTTTTCTTTAAATAAACGTGTAATACTTACAATGATTAATGTCACTTGCTTCTAAGCCATAACAAGAAGATTCACTTAACATAGCTATTCTTAAAAAAGCGCGACAGCATTTAAGCTGCGTATTTGGTAAATCTGGCATAGAGTAATTAGTATATTTTGTGTCAAGATTACTAAGCTTACAATTTTTATGTAACTCTTCATAAAAACATGAAAAACTTTGAATATCATCATTATCTATATTTTCATATTCTGTATCATTATTTTGGTCATTTGAGAAATTAAAATTTAACCTAGATTTCCAAAAATTTGTGTCACTTAGATTTTTTATTAAACCAAACGTTGAATCTTTCATAATGTTTGCAGAAGTTTTGACTATCTCAGTAGAAGCTTCTAAAACTTTTGGTACAAATTCTTTAGTTTCTATCTGTGGCTGTAAATTAGCAATAGTTTAGTATAGTTTTGTTTTCTCCATTATAGATGACATTTTTAATATATTTCTTACAGTAGTTAATGCATCTATAAATTCCTCTTCACTATCAGCATCATTATAATCATCAGATAATGAATCTGGGGGTAGCCATAATTCTAAATCTTTATGTAACATTTGTATTTCTATTAAATGTATTTGATCTAATGCTTTACTTAAAATGTCGCTAGGTCCATTATTTATTGCAAACCATAAACATTTTTTTCTAGATTTTAAATCTTCATAATTTTCACAGAATCCTAATTCTAAAGCAACTGTCCAGGCAGAAATGTAATTATTTTGCATTAGTTGTTGACATGTAGCAGCACAGACATTAAAGTCCTTTACCTATTATATTATATTATAAATTAATTATTTTATGTTTAAATATTAAATAGTAATTTTAAAACAATTCTACCTCAAGTGATTTTTGTGCAATTAATTCCAAAACCTTTCCTTCTTGCATTCTACTGTTATTCATTTCTATTCGTAAGTAATTTGCTAATGTTAATAATCGTTGACGACTCTTATGAGCATCTACCCGCTTGTTTAAACAGTCTTTTATCAACTGTAGTCTATTTTGCATTAATCGCACTTGAAGCGGTAATATACGAATATTGAATTCATTCAAAATTTGAAGCGAGTTAATGAGATCATACTCCTCTTTTATTTGTGCATTATCATCTACAATTAGATGAAGACAAGCTCTAAAAAGATAATATTTATAAAAGTTGAAATAAAAAAATACATTAAGATGTCGTTTGAAAATTGAAAATATTTACCTAGCTAATTCCATATTAGAATCGGTTAAGGATTTGGAACTATTAAAATATTCCTTACTGGCATCTAAAATTAAATTCACTGCTTTTTCATAAGATACTTTTAACAAAGACTGTTCATTTTTTTTAGTCTCAATTAAAGTAGCACAGTTTTGTATATTAGATTTAATTCCCGACATCAAACGTGCTGATACACAAATTTCAAAACATATTTCTATATCAATGCATGTAAAAATTTGACCATGAATTTCTAACATCTCGTTCAATAATTGAGCCCACTGTTTCTCATCTGGAGGTGGTATTCTTGAATTAAATATAAAAAAGTTTTAAATACGAAACATCTTTAAAAAAAGATATTAAAATATAAAAGAAGTTATTTACCTCTTGTTTAAACTCCTTGCCATTTGAATTAACATTTGTTTTGCAGCTTCAGGATTACTTTTATTTTTTCGTAATGCATTTAATGCAGTTTTAACACCATATTTATTTAAAATTTTTGTACATTTGAGTTCTTTATCCAGCTCTTCTAGTAAAGTGTATGTAGCACTTGTTCTCCTTCCATCGCGATCTTTAGCAATGGAATCTATGATACATGTTGCTTTTTCATAGATATCAAGATCATTACAAGCATATATGCAATCTAATGCTAAGATGGCAGTATTCTCTATCATGTGAAGAATGTCATTATCATGAGACTGTTTTAAGTATTCAAAAAGTTTGACTGGTAATATTAGATCTTCTTTACTAGTGGATACTAAATAATCAGTAAATAAATGCTTCTGTAATTCTCCACCCAAATATTGATGCCTTCTTTTTATAAATGGTATTACAAAATTTTTTATATCATCAACAAAACTTTTTTCAGTAGTTATACTCATTAATAATTTAATTTTTTCCAAATTACATAACTTTTGTAATTGATCTAAAGACAAGTCTTCTAGATAAACTTTATAAATGAGGTCATCTAATGTTTCTAAATCTAGTAACAAATTGTCTAGACCATTAATATTATGTAATTTGGCTATCTTTATTAATTGCAGAGCATTATCAATCATACAACTATTTCTTTCGATTTGATAAGCTCGTGACTCATACCATTTCTGCAGTAATTCTGGTGTAAGTAAGACATTTCTGTATATACATAGTGATGGGTCATATTTATAAAGTAGTTGTGACTTATCATTACTCTCTAAATTAATTATCTCATTGAATTCAGTTTTCTCAGCCCAATCTTTTTGTCGTAACTCACATTGATCAAGCAGAAATAATTGGCCATCGGTATCGCATTCTGGTAAAAGTTTTTTATACTTTAGAGGATTTAAAGTTTCTGGAAAGAAGCTAATGATTGCTAACCAATGGGGTATTAAACATTCACCATGATACGTAAACATAATTTCAACTCCCCGGCAATCTCCATTTTTCGCAAATTTAATTGCATTTTCAATGGCTGAAAGCTGTCGAAATTCTTCGTAAAAATTTTTATCATACTTCAACGAAGAATTTAAAATAATTTCGTACGTAAGTAATTTATCTAAATGATCTAGAAGTTTTCTTCTGTACTTAATTAAGTCTTTCTGAGCTTCGGATAAATGTTTAATTTTTATTTTTTCAAGCTCTTGATTTATTTTTTGTACTTGTCTTAAGCTTACACTAGCTTCATCCATTTCATTCCAATCTTCGTTAGTATTATCTATTACAAATTTTCCATTATCACAAATACCAATTGCTATTAAAGTTTTCAGGTTTGCACCTTTCAGCCCAAAATTTAATAGTTCTCTTGCTGCTTCAATAGTATCTGGGACTCGCGTTATGCATTCGTGCAAAACCCAAGACCTTTTTGTAACTTTACTTAAATGTTCTTGAATAGCATTCAATGATAACTCAGATTTTCGCCATTGTGTTTGGTACACAAGATCTGTATCTAAGTTGTACATATTTGCTAAAGACAGAGCTTCTTCATATTCCTACAATATAATTCTTTATTTACTTTAGCTTAAGATATTGTGAATTTCGTAAATATTTATACCTCTATATCAATTTTTCTTGAATAAAGTTCTTCAGGCGTCGTACTTTTAAGTCCAAGGATTCTATACGTTCTAAACAATAGCTTTGACTTTTTTTTTTTTGGTTGAAATCTTTCAATGTCAGTCATAGAATACAACGTACTTTGCATTAAATTCGTAGTATAATTCAATATACTAGTTGGTTCTAGTTCATCAGCTTCTTCTTCACTTTCTGAAGATGCTTCTTAAAAAATAAATTAATATGTTCTATTATATATATAGTAAATATACACTATAAACTAATTAAGAATACACACCTGATGTTTGATTTTCTGTATTGCATTCTCTGTTCCGTTTTTTACTTGTTATGTATGTTTCATAATCTAAACATAAAAAACCTCGATTTGAACCAAGTTCATATATTTGTGGTTGTGCAGCTAAAAATTCAGGACTTGTGCCTAAAAGATTTTTTAGGTCGTTTGTGGAACACACAGAAGTTGAACCTGAATATCTTGCAATTATAATTGCCTTTTAAAATGTCAATAGGTTAGAATTAATATGAACATGTATTTAAATGCATACGTATGTATATATAGAAATAAAATACTACCTCTTCAGACCACCAGCCAATATCTATTGGATGAAATTCAGTAACACCTGGTGGAAATTTCTTGGATCTTGCATGACCTAAAGGATTTGGTACATTAAAATCTGGTTGCTCTGATAATTTCCACTTTCTTTGTATTAACAAAGTTGGTAATCTCCATAATGATATTGAGCCATCTGTATGTAAACATGTTAAAGATTTACTATTTGGAGAGATTTTAATTTTGAATATAATTGATTCTGGTTCTAAATTTAGTGTCGGAATAATGTTCCATATAGAAAATCTTGATTTAATCTTCGATTCATTATCAAAAGTAAATGATAATTTGCAATATGGATATTCATTCAGGGGTCTCCATGATGTTAATCCACTGTCTGAAGCTGTAGACTGTAATTTTATATGAAGTTATGAATATTATCTTTTGTAAATTGATACATAAAAGGTATATTAATTACCATTAATTTTTGTGTTATTGTATTTCCTGCAACATAGAATAAGTGATGTTTTTCATCATAAACAACAGAATTTATTCCATTTTTGTAGAAGCTACCAAAAGAAAATTCATAATTTGCTACATATTCATTAGTTGTTGAAACGTGGTATGATCTGAGTAAACCACTATATGTGATTAATATAAATTCATAAGACCATTTCTCAGATTTCATTCTTGGTTTGAGAAATATTACAGAAGCTATTGCATCACCAGCTTCTAAAATATGGGGATTCTGGGATACAGTTTTTGGACTAATATTAAAAATATTATTTCCCAAAGCATTATAAAAAGAAATATAACCATTGCTAGATGCTAATACTAAGATTGTTCCATCTGGGCTCCAAGCCAATTTACGCCATTGTGGAAAAGCATCTTTTGGTACTAAAAAGATATTACATATTTTATCATATATTAAAACAGATGAATTTTTCTAAATTAAAGAGATTTAAGAAATTATATAAATTTAGGATTTACCAGAAGCTTTTCCAACAATTGAAGAATATTCATCTTTTGCTTTTCGAATTTCTATAACATTTTCTTGTAGAATAGCAAGTAAACGACCATAATCTCCAATTGCAAACTTCCATGGCAGAGTAAGACTAATTTGTTGTGATATACTCTCTGGTAGAGAATACCGATTATTAAGATATCTAAGTGCATTTTTTATTGTCCCTGTTGTAGGCAATATTACAGTATCATTTTTGCATTTCTAAAATAAATATTTTTTTATAAATACATTAAAATGAAGGTACATTGTAGATTATGTTTCATTCAAATCTTTTTTTAAATATATTAATGTGAACTTACTATTAATTCCGGTTCTTGCTTGCGAATAAAATATTCCAACAACTCATAAAGTATTGGTTTGTTTGACAATTCGTTTGAATTAACCATTTTGTAATTAGAAACATAACCTATTACGTTGACAAAAACATAGAAGTGAAATCAGTAAAAATTTGACAAGTCACTAGTATAACGACATGCTCAGTTTCTCTTATTTTTTAATGCTAATAAATAAATTTAAATAAAACTTATACAATTATTCCCATACATATTAATTAAAAATGTTAATTATAAAAAATTATGCGTATACTTTGTTAAAAATAATTTAAGATCGTAGAACCATATCGATATGGTATATCTGGAGAAGTCAAGTTGCATAAAGCACATGTGTAAGATAGTGCATACATGTGAATTTTAAAATACAAACTTGTCCGTGCTAGTGGTTGTCAACAGAATAGCGTGAACCATATTATTTTTACAATTCAAACTTCTTAAATATTTGCAAAATGTCAGACGGCGAAGATGATTTTATGTGTGAAGAAGAGGAAGATTATGGTCTTGTAAGTATATGTATTCTTAAAAAAGAAATGTTGATATACTAAGAATGATTTTGATTGAGAGATAGGTTAGGATTTTCATATTGACGTATACGAAATTTATAAATAGTTTTAGAGTTATCTTATAATGTTTAAATAATAAGAAATATTGTTGTTCAGATATTTTCAAAAAATAATAAAGATGTCGAAATTTTATTATAGTTTAAATTCCTTTAGGTTATATTAATACTTTTAAGATGACATTGTTAAATGTTTTCCTTACTTTGCTATATTGAGAGATTGGTGTGCAATAAAATCAATTTCAAAGTGTCCTTATTTTTTATGATAATTTTAGGAATATTCTGAGGATTCAAATTCAGAACCTGATGTTGATCTAGAAAACCAATATTATAATAGTAAAGCTTTAAAAGAGGATGATCCAAAGGCAGCTCTACAAAGTTTCCAAAAAGTTTTGGATTTGGAGGGAGGAGAGAAGGGTGAATGGGGTTTTAAAGCTTTGAAACAAATGATAAAAATTAATTTTAAATTGGTATGTTATTACATTAACGTTATATAAAATATATTTATTTTTATACATTATTGCTAATTAATTACATTAATACTATATGAAATATATTTATTTATCTTTCTTACAATGTTTCATTTTTATAGGGTAATTATAAGGAAATGATGGCAAGGTATAAGCAATTATTAACTTATATTAAAAGTGCAGTTACCAGAAATCATTCAGAAAAGTCTATAAATTCCATATTAGATTATATTAGTACCTCAAAGAATGTGAGTAATGTTATAATATAAATTATGAAATGATTTAGTTTTTAAATATATTTGTTTTTTCTTATCAAATATTTTACAGATGGAATTATTACAAGATTTTTATGAAACTACTTTAGATGCTTTAAAAGATGCTAAAAATGATAGGTTATGGTTTAAAACTAATACAAAATTGGGAAAGTTATATTTTGATCGGTCAGACTTTAACAAATTGGCTAAGATATTAAAACAACTTCATCAAAGTTGCCAGGTAGTGCTCTTGGAATTTTTTTACTAGATATTGTATTAGATATTACATACGCGCATACATTATATATATACATATAAAATGTTTTATTAGACCGATGATGGGGAGGATGATTTAAAAAAAGGAACACAACTTTTGGAGATTTATGCATTAGAAATACAAATGTATACTGCACAAAAAAACAACAAGAAATTAAAGACTTTGTATGAACAGAGTTTACATATTAAAAGTGCTATACCACATCCATTAATAATGGGAGTCATTAGAGGTGGTATAATTCAAATTATTATCAACTATCGAAAGATATCTAATGACTTAAAATAAAACCTTTTATTTATTTTTAAAAGAATGTGGAGGGAAAATGCATTTAAGAGAAGGTGAATTTGAAAGAGCACACACTGATTTCTTTGAAGCTTTTAAAAATTATGATGAATCTGGATCCCCAAGGCGTACCACATGTTTGAAATATTTAGTTTTAGCAAACATGTAAGTTAATAAATTAAACAAGTGAAATAACATGTATTATAATAATACGATTTATTGTTAATGTTTAAATATATATAAAAATAGGCTGATGAAATCTGGTATCAATCCATTTGACTCTCAGGAAGCAAAGCCATACAAAAATGATCCAGAAATCTTGGCAATGACAAATTTAGTGGTCAGTTATCAAAATAACGATATTAATCAATTTGAATTAATTTTAAAACAAAACAGAAGTAATATAATGGATGATCCTTTTATAAGAGAGCATATCGAAGATTTACTACGTAATATACGCACACAGGTATATGTAGTATGCTATATATATTTTATGGTTTTCGAAAATTCCAAATTTAACGTAACGTGATTTTATAGGTTTTAATCAAATTAATTAAACCATACACTAGAATTTACATCCCTTTCATAAGCAAAGAATTAAATATCGATGTATCAGAGGTCGAAAGTCTTTTAGTGTCTTGTATTTTGGACAGTACTATTTGTGGTCGTATTGACCAGGTAATGCGATAAATTTTATATTATTCAATAGACTTTTATTTTCTTTATTTTATATTAAATTGTATACAGGTGAATCAAGTGCTTGAATTGGACAAAAAATCAGTATGTGCAGCACGTTATAATGCTCTCGATAAGTGGACGAGTCAGTTGCACTTTTTGCATTTAACTATAGTAAATAAAATGTCATAAAGGGTATGACACGCGTGAATCCAAAATAACATCGACTTTGAAATATTACATTGTATAGTATATCATAAATGCCTGTCTCCGATTATATGAAAAATAAAATCTGTTGTGATATAATAAAGTTAGGATTTTAATACGATTCGTTTATTATACCTTCTTATTGCGGAATTCTTTTTTACTGTTGCCGTTTCTCTCAGATGACGACTTGTAAATTTCAAATTTGATGCGAGTAGGAAGTTACGTTACATTTTTCGATATTATTTGGATTTCTACCTTTTCACCGTTTGGTATGGATTTTTAATATCTCCGATAGATTAGGATTGGTTTAGATTGATATATAAGGTGGTGGTATTTGCTGGTATTTCTTATGGAAGTTGAATTGAATAGAGATTTTATTTGCAACAAATTTCTTGTCTATAATGTTTCACTACCTAAGAGAAATTTTCTTAAAAAGAATATGTACCTTTAATTTCTTAGAAGCTGTGCAGACCTCTATGTTTCAATGTTTTTGTATAAAAATTCATAAATTTTTTAGTCCACTATTGGAATTGAGACTCGAAAGTGTTTGAAAATTGTAAATTTATTAGATTCAGTCTGAAGAATTGAAAAATTCCATCTTACGTTTACTATTTATAAGTTAAATAAATTCATTTTGAAGAGTTCATTGTTTATTAATAATGTTAGTCGTATAAGTTGTGCTATCTGTAATTATTGATTTTGTGCTAAGGTGGTAGCGAGGGTATTGAGTTGTTTTAAAAATATAACGATATCAAGAACGGGTGGGATGTTGGTAGGGGGTAAGGTATGGTTCCGTGTTCGCTTCCGACATGATACTTTGTCAAGCGTCCAATCCCTTGAATTGTGTTCAATCATGCTCAATGTACGTTATTGTTAGCATGGTAATTTTCCGATCGCTATATGAAAATTATGTTTAATTAATTTTTTTTCTACAGTTTTATGTATTTTTTGCGTGTTAGAAATCGACCGTATTTAATAAGTTATTAAAAGAAAATTACTTCTTTTTACGATTTTTTGCTCGTACGTTTATCACTTTGTGTTTATAATGCAATAGAAAGATATAAAATTAAGATACAGTGCAATCTCGAAATAAGATTGGTCAAGGGACTATATGGAAATGTTTTTCCAGGAAATATAGTACCCCCCACGAAAACGACGCGTGAGTTGCTTGCAAGAAACGTTACCATCTTTCTAATTTAAATTGTTACGTGTATAAATAATGTATGTATACAATGTGATTAGTATATTACAAACGGGGTAAAAAGTGCATTCGCAATTTTAATTTTTTAAAATTAAATTAAAATTAAATTAATCTAATTTTCAAAATAAAAAATCTGATTTCTTAGAAACAAATTCACAATCAGAATTAGACACAATCGCCGTATGAATATCAGTTCTAGTTCATTTATTTTATACCGGTTACGATAAGTCTTATGTTCATATATTCTATTAATTCTATTATATTTGCTAAACGATAAGAATAAAAAAAAAAAAATTGCTATTGGCCGTAGGCAGTAATTAACGAAAAAGCTCATCGATTAATGCCTGTAATCCACTTGTCGATTCTCTTAATCATGGATAAAATTAAGTGATACGTGTATGTCTTAATTTTCCGTTCATTAAAAAGTATTAGAAAATCTCATCCCTTATCAACTCCGCAATCAGAGAAAATGGTATGATATAGCGAGGGTAACGTTCGACTGAGAATAAGGGGGAAGAGGTTTAATTTGGGGAGGTCCTATTTGAAGATTGTATCGTATATAAAATAATGATAATGAATGTCAGATGTCGTTTACTTAATTAAGCAATTGTTAACCGTGTTATGGAAGGTGTTATGGTCAATCAATTTCTCGCAACCTCGAGATATATAAGTTTCAATTAACAAAGTTCTATTCATTTATCTCAATTTCTATGCAAGTTCGATACATGGCGCAATTGGACATCCTGTAGAAGGATGTGGTTCAACAGAAGGATGACGAACGTGCCGTCTTGGTGGAACGGCACGGCTGGTTTTAGCTCCGTTTCAAGCATTGTTATTCAGTCTACGTTCGCGCCTATGTAAATGTTGGTTAACCCCAGGCAGGATGGGCGGCAGGGTCCCTAGGCTCGTCCTACATCCTCGCCGCTACGGGATGGTATAATCCTCTCGTTCTCGAACAGGTTCATCCTCATCCTTGCCACGTTTAAGGTGGCAGCTTGCAAAGCTATGGAAACTTGCTTTGCTAGAAAATCAATTTCGAAAATAAAATCACCGACAAATCTAAGGAATTGTTCTCTATTCGTAGCTTAAGGTTCATGAACCGTGGATTACATTATATCTATATTTTCTT